ATAATAAAATACAGTCGAAGGCTTCCTTCCAACGAATTAATTTGTCAGTAACCACTGGGGCAAAACGGGCGGTCCGGAATTTTCCCGATTTTCTCTGTGAAGAATTTAATTTTTCTCAAGGATGTATTACATTTTTTTCGCCAAATTGCGCGTTTTTTGAATTTTTCTGGTAAATTGCTGATCGGATTAACGTGAAAAAATATACGGTATTTGCGTTTTATCATTACTCAATGACTCACAAAATTTCAAGATCGTGCAGTCATTTTCCTGCGTTTTTTCTAAAACCTTTCGGAAATTCACAAAAATTTAGGAAAAATGCAGGAAAATAATTGAACTATCATGAAACTTCGTGAGTCAGTCAACAATGATAAAACGCAAAAATTGTATATTGTTTCGCGTCAATCCGACCAATAATTTGCCAGAAAAATGAAAAAAACGTGAATTTCGGCCGAACGGGTGTCGATCCTTAACGAAAATACGTGGAATTTTCTTTCGATAGCCCTCAACTCGAAAAATGTAGCTCTAGGTGTTATCGAGGCTCAATCCCCAGTGCGGAACCAGTTGACATTAGCCCGGGTATAATGTACACAATCATTTCATGGGCTAATGAACGCGCAGTGAGCCGGAGCTCGGGTTGCTGACGATATTCCAGATACCGACGGCCAGCACACGGATCCCGTTTGTCATAAAATATATTGCCGGTTGACACGAAGTCCTTGCCATGAAAATTACATTCCCCTGCGGAGAGAAGTATTTTTCACTTCGCTGTAATGAAATCCTCGATTTTTAAATGTAACGCGGGAATAAATTGGGGAGTCAGGGCACTGGCATGGCCGGCAGACTCTTGTTTTTAGTGAATATCACGGAATCTAAGGGAGATAACTAAATTTTTGCTAGAACATTTTTTGTAGCACTCAATTTGCTCTAGAAAAAAGGTTCTCACGAAAATTTCATTATCTCCGTTAGATTCCGAGATATTCTTAGAAAACTCAACTACGAGATGAGTCGACTTAAACCGTTTTACCACTTCGCTACTGATTTGATGATTTTTCACGTGAAATTAACAAACCATTAATTTTATGTGATTAAAAAATATTTAGGGGAATGAATACATGAACTTATTGGATTGAAACAGAAATAATGTGGGAATGAATAGGGAAATTCCGAATGAAGAAAATTTTGAAAATTTAGAAAATGTCTCTCTTGAGGAAAAATTATCAATTTCATCTCCAGTTTTGTTGCTTAATTTCATAAATTTATGCATATCGCGGACAACAATGTTGCCCGCTAATTCCTGGAACCCCCAGAGGCCTCTTTGAACTCAAAAAAGATGACCCATGCGATACCAAAGTTAGGAGTTGGAACGGTAACGCGTTTTCGAACGTTTCGCGGAACACATCGTGCACTCGCGTGTCCGCCACCTTGTGTGCTTCGTGCACCTTCCCATCCCTTCTCTCCGCAGGCCGAGAGGCGTTCAGCTGTGGGACGGAAAGAAGAAAAATCCGACCGCGGTGAAAAGAGAGAGACCGGAGTCAGTGGACGAAAAAAAATGTGGCAAACGGAAATAAAAGTTGGAGAGGAAAAACGTGAGACCATAAAGCTCGATAGGCAGCCTTCCGCGTGGAGGTGGCTTTTCGGCGCCTGGATCACGTGTCACGGTGTGTATTTTCCGTTTGCGTGTTTTGTACAACTATACAACCCTTATTTCAGGTCATCATCATGGGAGAAGTGTTAAAACAAGCCCTTTTGTTCTCTTTGGGGAAGAAATTAGGCTTTTGAATTTGTGGGGTTGATGGATGGTATTCATGAATCAATTTTCACGGCTCTTTAGTGAATTTTTATTGTTAATGATTTTTTAGGAACTATTTTCAAATTTTTTTGACTTGTCAATTTTTTTTGTTCTCATTTTGAATTTTTCACTGGTGAAAAAATAAAATTTCATGAACAGTTTAATAGTAATTTTCAAAAGTGACATTTGAATTTCGCTGAATTATTCAAGGGAATTCAAAAATTAAAAACTAGAATTCCGTGAATTATTTGAATTTTTAATTATTTACAGTATATTTACCTGAATCTCCCTGTTTCCGTCAATATTTATGGAATAATCGAACTGAAATCTAATTTCCTATAATTTTTTCATGCAGATGTGAATTTTCACATATCTTCATTGAGTTTTTGTTTTTAATAATTTTTTAGAGAATATTTTTCGATTTTCTTCACTTTTCTTTTTGTTTTGAATTTTTCAGTTGGAAAAAAAATTAAATTTCGTAAATAATTACATTCACATTTTGTTGAGTATAATTCCTATGAAGTACTTCATAAAAATAGTTTTTTACTTCATTAGCATCACCAAACACACCCTGACTAGAAACATTGATTTCACATTAGCCTTCATTTCTCATATCGACGATTTTCTCACCCTTTTTTTCCTAATTTGTCTATACAACGAAATGAGGTATGAAAGGGGTCGAGAGAGGGTGCAAGCACGCGAACTGAAGGGCAAAGTCAACCGCAATATTGAATTAATGGCTGACGCACTTCCTGAAATGCTTCATGATTGAAAAAAAAAACAAGTTAAAAAGGTTTCCCCGAAAATTCCAGAGAATTTCGTCGTCCCTCTCATTTTTCATTTTTTGTTTGACATTTTTTCATGTGTATTCCGCTGATATTTATTCATCTCGTTCATCCGATGTATTCTAATGCTGAATAATCGAGAGGTGGCAAGGAGTAACCGGACACGATACGCCGTACAGGGCGCCATAAACAACCTCGACGATGGGCTCTGATCTTCTTATCTCACTTCACTCCTACCCCACATCCACGGCATTCGGTAGTCTTATGCTAATGTAATACGCCCGTAAGTATATTATAATTATAAGGCCCGTACCTACGGGATCGATCGGCCGAAGGCACACCGAGAGATGCAAGACGCTCTATTCCACCTTTCTCTGATCACCCCAACTCCTGCCTAGGTGAATTTCAATAATATTTGCTCCTTTTTTCCGCACCAAATGCCCATGGGTCTACGACAATTTTTTTTTATGTAAAAAAATTTAATGAGGGGAATTAACTTTTTTTTTTGGCTCAAAACAATTTATAATTTTTCGTTTTTTTATGTTATTCTGGAGAATCTTTTTCATTTATTTTTGATTTATAATTATTCGTTATTATAAATTGAATTATTTATTTATAAATTCAATTAAATTATTATTAAATTATTTATTATTATAAATTGAAAATTTTTATCAAAAATTTAAAAACATAATTTTTAGTTCAGTTTTCAGTGAAACTAAAATTTTATGATTCAAGTTTCGTCTTAATATCCTTTTTTAGGAATAAATACCATTATTTAAAAAAATTAAATCGCTTTGAAAATAAAAAATTTTAAACATAAAAAAATTCTAAACATAATTCAGACTAATACATTTTCCATTCATTTTTTAATAAATCGCTAAAAAAATGTGGAAATGTCACTCCACAAAAATTGAGACAAGACTGTTTAATCCCGTGTCATAAACGATCCTGAAATTCCGGATTTTTTCTTGCCAAAAACCAAAACCAAAAAATATAAACAAATATGATCGTGATAAGGCGAAACGCGGCGTCGGTCGTCGGTTGACAAAGGGCCGTAGAAACGCCCCTTCAGATCAGACAGGGCAACCGCTTGTGAGGGCGTCCATATTAATCCACACACACCCCCCCCCTCCCCTCCCCCCTCGCCGCTATCCTCTACCCGCTCTTACTCTGGGACTTTTCTCTGGCTTCGTTCATTCATCGCCCGAGGATCTTGTTTATTACCCCAGCACATGTACCAGCCGCTCACCAGAATACGTATTTCATGCAGAATGTTGCATAATGTCCAGCAGAGGTGGATGAGACATTCCGCATTTTCGTTGCATTCAGAGAAATGACGCGTTATTTGGAATTTTTTCATTCATTTAAACAATATTTTCAGCGGAAATGAATGATTCTATTGGTTTATTTCAATGTAAATGTTTTAATTAGAAAAAATAAACAAATGAGTAATGAATTAATTCCAAATAAAAAATTATTACGAGTTAATTAATTCGTTTTTGTTTCTTTCTCTAAACAATTAATTAATTTCTGAATAATACATTCTTAATTTCCATTAAGAAAACATTTATTCATGTTAAAAAAATTAACTATTTATTTTGTTTGAAGAAATACAAAATAAAACAAAACAAAAATTAAGAAAAAAAATTATTTTTCATTTTTTTATTCTTAAAAAGTAAATAAATAAAAATGAAGTTTAAGTCTATTCGATTCGAATAGAACATTTTATCGGGTGAAGATGAGAGAAAAATGAATATTGATTCTAATACCAATTAATTTTAATAAAAAACATTCCTCTGATATGAGAATAAATTCTCCTTCTGAACCTGATGTTTTGGGACTGAGGGCACATTGAATTATTCAAATAGCTCTACCCCCATCCGAAGTTGTTTATGACTCTTGTGCATATGGTTAATACCCGGCAGCACTCCCATCAATATTACCTCGCTATTTTTTTTTAAATTAAATATTGACAATAAAAATCGACGCATTGTTCAACAAGCTGCGGCTGATACTCGCGCACTTCGTAATAGCTTTTCGGTGGATTATTTATTCATCAGGGGGGACGGAGGCTTTATTATCCGGAATATCAATATTTCTCGATGTTTCGTCGTTTACTTTGTTCCATCTTTTATTCGTCTGCGCAATTATCGCCGCTTGCGGGGGATCAAATATTTATTTTACAACTTTTTTCAGTTTTTAATGGAAATTCACAACATCCATCGTCATTTTTTTATAAATAATAGTTTCCGGCTGACAGCCTATTGCTCTAGTTCGAATCAGTTTGTATTCTCATTTCCGCTGGAAATGAGAATCATCCCGCCATCTCTCAGCGTGCCGTTGCACTAGAAAATTCTATTGGCAAGACTTTTTCGGTGGACATCTGCAATATCGAGTTAACCACCTCATCAGCATCTGCCCTCTGCAACCGGCATTCAGAATTTCGCGGAATTTTCATCGTTGAGGAAAAAAATAATAACATAAAAAATTCCCCTGGAGTTCTGGAATTGACGTGAGAATGTTTGCCTCAAGTACACAGAGGAAACACTGGATGTACTCCGACGAGAGTGATCTCACCGCCCTGAGGGAGAAAACCAATGCACAATTTATCAGGAAATATGGAGCTCACATGCAAGTATGTAAACATAAAGATAATATCTTTTTTCTTGACTATTTTCAATTCCTTATTCAATATTTCTGTATTTTTTATCATCTTGAATTGCATTCCCATTTCATTTTTTATTCTTCGTCATTTTATTTACGAATAAAAATATTGAGGTTAGCTCGAGAAAGAATAATTGCAATGAACATAATTTTCACCATTTTATCATCAATTTCGCAGAAAAAAAAATTCTAGTTTCCAGTCAAAATGTTCCCTCTACTTCAGATAATTTTTACTCAAATATCTCACAATTGTATTTAAATAAACTTCGTTCTAGAATTTAGAATTTTTGAAACAGGTTCCTTAAAATAAGAACTAAAATAAGAATCCCAACTCCTATCGAATTAATATTCAATTACTCCCGAATTTCTAATTCAAGACTTTTATTCACCTGAAATTAACCAACTAGTTTCTTATTCTCAGTACTATACCATCTAAAACCCCAAGTTCCTTAAAATCAGTACCTCAATTCTGAAAGCTAGAAAATTTTTCTCTGTGGAATTGTAGCAAGAGCAGCGAGAGCAATTTTTCCTCTCGGATATCGAGGAGAGAGCACTGGTGCGATTTTACGAACTGCAGCTGCGAGATTTCTGCAAGAGATTCTCACCCCAGATGCCCAGAGCAACGATAGCCACTGCTCTCCACTATTTCAAACGTTTTTACCTGAGGAACAGCGTAATGGATTATCACCCCAAGGAGATCCTGGTCACATGCGTTTATCTCGCTTGCAAGGTGATGAATTCACTGATAAATTAATCAAATATTTCAAAACAATTAAAAAACTTTAACTTTTTCCAATATTTACAAATACTAATTCATTGTTTTCACATCTAGGTGGAAGAATTCAACGTTTCAATCTCTCAATTCGTAGCTAATTTGAAGGGAGACAGGGAAAAGGCCTCAGACATTGTTCTAAACAATGAATTACTCCTGATGCAGCAATTGAATTACAATTTAACAGTTCATAATCCATTCAGGCCCGTGGAGGGACTGATGATTGACATAAAGGTATGAAAAAACACAGGAGATTGATTTAAAATGAGAAATTGGCAATGAAGTTGATAAAATTTTTGTTTTAGACTCGTTGTACTGCTCTCGAAAATCCGGAGAGACTCAGACCCCACATCGACGATTTTCTGGAGAGAGTATTTCTAACTGACAGTGTTCTTCTCTATGCACCGAGCCAAATAGCTCTGGCAGCTATTCTGCACGCAGCTTCAAAAATCTCAGCCAATTTGGATAATTACGTGACTGACATTCTGTTCTCTCGAGAGCAGTTAGAAGGGATCATCGAAGCTGTTCGAAGTAAGAAACATCTCTTGAGATGAATCAGTTAAAAAATATTCCTCAAATGTTTACATTTCAAAAATGTAATCCGAAGTCTAGAATGATCTATTCATTTTCCTCTTCATCACAGAAATAAGGACAATGGCAAGAACACTGATCGACGTCCCAGGGAAGGACGTGGTGAAATCCCTGGAGAAGAAACTCGAGAAATGTCGAAATCAGGAGAACAATCCTGACAGTGACATCTACAAAAGGCGAATGCAGGAGATGCTGGACGAGGAGGACATGCACGACAACGAGAAGTATGCGAAGATAATTCAGGATCAGGCAGCCCACGACGAGAAGACTCTCGGTGTCAGGGGCTTGGGGTCGCCGTCCCTATAGCCCCCAGTTGTGCACGAACTCATCGATCTAACTTGAAATTCACTCTCGTTGTTTCACGGAGCCCTTTGTTACCAGAAAAATCAGCAATCTATTTATTTTCTCCCTTCAGTCCTTCCTTCTTACAACAGTAATTATTATTGATCACTCGGCAGTTCTGTTGTTGCTTAAAATGCAAGTATAAAACGTTTCATCTTAATTTTTATTTCTCCTTTATTATTTTGACGTCTCACGTATCTTGTCTTCTGAAGTCGATCCTCTGGGTCAGGGGGTGGACAGAGTGGGAGGGAGAGATGCTGGGGAACACTGAGTGTTGAGTTCCTGGGGATAAGTTGCTTGCCAGTGGCTGGACGATTGGCATTCCAGGGGGCAGGGAGAGGTGGCCCATGTGTGGAGGTAGCAGAGGAGGGGTAGCTGGTTGGGGTTGTCCAGGGTAATTGAAGAACCTGAAGAATTTAATATTCAAATTATCATTCGGTTTATCAGTTCTTAAATTGATGTATTCTATTGTATTTTGAGACATACCACAGACGATCACCCACAAATATCGGTCGTGGCGCTGGAATTCCGAGACTGGAATAGTACTGCTGTGCTAATAATTCCACGTCGTTAGTGTACTTTCGCTTCCATTTCGTTCTCCTGTTCTGGAACCAAATTTTTATCTGGAAGAAATGAGGAGATTGTGTATTCTGTGAATGTAGCAATACAGAAAAGGGGAATTTTGGGAAGAATTCCTTGTCTCTGTGAGATGCATCAATAATTTTTTTAAATGTGGAATTCGATAATTTTGTATTCTTCGCGGAAATAAGTAAATTTCCTGTGGGAAATGTAATCCCCAACTAAAATGGTATTCTAAAGAAATATGTTCTGTGTATTCTTCCAACTAGAATTTAAAAAAAAATTAATGTGGTTTACATCAGAATGAAGTTCAACATTAATTCATAAGATAATTATAAACTATAATATACCTTAGATAACAACTGTAAGTCTATTTATGTAGATTTATATAAAAAATGTCGATAAATATACAACTTAAAATGATGAAATCTCTCTCATTAGTCATGATTAAAAATTGAGATCTTGCTTCGTGATCAATAAATTCTCGAAATTTAAAAAAAACCCAAAAAAATATGCCCCGGGTGAGGATCGAACTCACGACCTTAAGATTATGAGACTTACGCGCTGCCTACTGCGCTACCGAGGCCTTAGCATCAAAAAAACGTTCGCTCTATATGAATCGCTCGGAATTAGGGAGTTTTCGCAAAACGGAAACAGATGGCAGTAGAGCGTCACCCCCTCCATTTACCAAAGGCGTCGAACAAAGATGGTTAGAACATGCTATCCTTGTCTGACCCATTGAAAAGTGGCTGGCCACCTGGCACCATTAGTTCATGAATCGGCCGAAAAACTCCGTAATTGAGAAATACAAAAGGGAAAAATCACCCGTTTATGACTAATTTCAAAAATTGGAAAATCGACTTTTCGTCCTATTCATTTCAGATCATTGAGTTGTTTATTCCCCATTCATTCGCTTAATCACTCTTATCGCAGAAGAAAAATGCAGGTTCATGCAAACATGTGATAGATTGTTGTACATATTATAAATGGGGCGATAACTTGACTCCATTATTTTTAAAGAACGACAATATTTTAAACATTAATGTATTCAAGCAAGAGAGTTTACAAATTTTGTAGACTTTCTTCGTCAGCTTCAGTCAAGATCCAAATCAAAGCTTTGAAAATCCAAGTAGATTAAAAGTCATAAATGAACGATAGGAACACGTATGGAAAAATCGTATAGAAATTTTCCATGCGGATTGCGTATAGAAATTCTATAGGATTTCTGTATATGATATTCGGATATTTTTATACGAATTATTTCTATACCTTAATTTTTACATAAATTTTTGTTTTCATACGAAAGATGACTAAACCCTCCAGAGAAAAATGTAGAGAAATGTCGCAACTCCATACGAAATGTTTCTACACGATTTTTTCGTTCGTGAAGCCCTCGAAAAACTTGAAATCCATATCGATTCCTGCTTTCAAGACCTAATTTATCGTTACAATGTTGATGTTGAATATTGGCTGGACTAAATCCATTTATCACTTTAATCAGCAAGATGAACGTTACCATAATTTTGCTGTTTATCGCCCCAACACATTCTTTGGACATTTTCGAGTGAAGATTGAGGTCGAACCGCAGTATATAAGTCGAACCTTCTTGAGGGGAACACATTCGCATTTTGAAAGTACGACTGCAATTTTTCTGCGGTAGAAAAAAATCATTTGTCGTTATTTCTCAGTTTCAATCATGAGTCCGATGAAAATTGCGTTCTTCGTGATGGCTGTCGCCATTGGGTGTGTCTCCTACACTTCGGCCGAGCCAGAGCCCTGCCCTTACGCTGTTTGCGGAATTTTCTAATTTGGTGAGTATATCTACAATAGTATATTTTTCTGTTTTCATTAAAGTAAATTTCAATTTTTTTGAACGAATTCAACAGATGACGCGATCACCAACGCCACCCGGGCCCTCCCAATTACGGAAAGGTGCTCTAATTGGCTACTTCAAACAATTCAATATGAACCATCAAGGTCGTGATTTTAGTGTCTAAAAATTGTCGTCTGCAGGAGATCCCCGGCATTCTTATCTTTCGAACTCACAAAGTTGATTTTGTAAATCAATCTTTACAACACGACAACCACTTCAGTGAAGCAAAGTTCACGCAAAATTATACTAAATGTAAGAAAATTGTGGAATTGGTCTTATGAATAAATAAATAAATAATAAAACTTGTTCGCAAAACGGAGGATTATTTTTTACGAGGTGTCAAAAAAATTCTTGATTTTTTCACATCTAATGAAAAAAAATCAGATTTTAATCTTTGATTACAATGGAAATGTTGATTTTCACATAAGACACTGGGTAAATCCTGTTTTTTAAACATTTCTTCTTTGAAAAACCCAAACGATAATTAAATTGAGAAAAAAATTAGAATTCCGACTCTAATCGAATTTTCTGCAACTTTTTTGCAATTTCTAATAATCTTTGAATTTACCGTAAGGGTAGAGTTACTTTAATATGAACCGTAAATTCGCGATTTTAATGTTAATTTCATAAATCAATCTTTATAACGGGGCACTCACTCCAGTGAATCAAAATACATGCAAAATTACACTAAAACTAAAAAAATTGTGGAATAAAATAATTCGCCCACTCAAATTGCGTTAAATTGACTCGATTTTTTATCATTAGTTTGAAAAAAACACTTCGCATATCCAAATAATGTCATGGGTATTTGGCATTAATCCCCGGGTTGTTCAATAAATTTTGTATGCATCACCAACAAAATAAAGCCCCTCACGTCTCGAGTGGAGAAAAAATTCTCCCGACAAACTTTTGATTTCATTTGAACGCGGGAATAGCCCCTGGTGATGAGGAATAGAGAGTGAATGAGCGTAAGCGGCGAGCGTGGCTCGTTAACTCCGAGAAATATTGTGACATTAATGTTAGCAGCACGACTCAGTCCCTCGCCATCCCTCTGATCTGTCGTAATACAGCATGTCGCGGGGACTCCTCTGCATCCAACGGATTCGTGACAATTATCCCGAGCTTTTCCCGCCTGACGATTCCATCTCCGTCCAATTACCCGTGACATTTACAACTGCCAAACTCCTCAAAAACGAGGACATCTCCGGAGGAAAAAGCATCAAGTCTAAATCACCAAATGAAATAGTGATTTAGTTGATAAAAATGGGGGCGATTAATAATCGAGTTTTTTTTGGGTGTTTAGGTGCTAATTGCCCCTGCACATCGACCCTAACACCACCGGCGCCACGGCCTGGCGCCTCCACATGTGGCAAACGCTCACGAAACCCCCGGACCATAACTCAAACCCGGGGACTTGACCTCGTGACCCCTCGAAGCAAAAAAATCAACTGCTTCAGGTGCTAAATTGTAGCACTGCGGAAGCGTCACTTTCGATTTATCGGAGGCCCTCAGGCACTTCCCATGTGACCCAATAATTTTTAGAAATTATTTCCTCCCCTTGGGATCGTTATATTTCATGGTAACGGCCGTGTAAGTCACGGGAATTTTCAACACACGGTTTTCATTTTTTTTCTGGGGGTTAGACGCTGATTTATTTACTTCCGTACATCTTTTTCCGGATATCAGACCCGTCTAGATTAAATTCATTGATCATTTTTTAAAACAATGAGATTTGCCAATAGTTGAATCAATAACTTAATTTTTTTGCATTTTTTATAATAGAAAATGTTTAATAAAAAATGTTTTATGACTATATTTTCTATAGAAATCCCTCGGCCCAAATTTCCTGATTTTTTTCCTAATTTTTATTAATTATCAAGAAAAAAATTGACTGGAAAAATTTGTAAAATTTATGTTAAGAAATTTCTAAAGAATATCGACTTTAAAATCTTTTCTATTGGACATTTTCCATAACAGAAATACCACAGAAACCCAACAGAATTTTTAGCGAATTCGCTACAATTTTCTATAGAATTATTTCGCCCCTGAGGCGCTTGTGGTCGCATAAACCCTCAAAATGTCTTTCAGTCGGTCAACAGAGTGAATAGAGATGAGTGCAACGCGGCGCCTGACTTCCGATTACGTATTTTTTAGTCCTTCTATTGCACATTAGGACAATTAGGAGAATGGCATCATGTGCAGGCGAGACACTTTCCTCCCGGACTGTCGCCGTTGGCTGTCTGCATGTTGCAGTTTTTTTATTTCGTCCGATCGCAAACACTCGAAGCTAGAGAATCTAGAGTCATCATGCTATTTAGCAAATCCAAGAGGAGTTAAAAGTCCCTATTGTTTTTAATTCCGAATTGCTGTTTGATTGTAATTTATCAGAGTTGCGGGGGGGCTGCGCCCCCTCCTAGGCTAGTGACCGAAGCCAACGGGGGGCTAGGCCCCCTAATTCGATGAATCGATCGCTCGGGAAGAAATTCCCTCGAGTGAAGAAAGGTAACAAGGTAATTCGAATTAATAAATTCAATTGATAATTAAATAAGTTATTTCTCATTTTCATCTTTCCAATAAAATAATATTTTATTAATTATCTAATAAACAATAATAATTAAATAATAATTATTATTTGATGATTATTAATTTTAATAATTATCTAATTAATAATATTTTATTAATTAATCAAGAATAAACCCCCTTAATAATATTCAAATAATTATTAAGGGGTTTTGTTCTTTTATTAATTATTTTTATTTATCAGATTCTTAGAAATAATAAGATAAATCGAAGGAGAGAGAGAACTCGATCAACAAAAAATGATCAATAGAAAGGATTTTGAAAGGGTAAGGATCTGCTGAATAAAAAGATTATTTTATTGAAACCGAGAAAATGAAAACCAATTCATTTAATTAATTATCATTTGGATTTGTCCTGCTTGAAGTCTTGAGAGTATAAAAATAAAATCAAAATACGTAAATTTGTGTTTCCTGTGATAAACATAATTCACGAAGATAATGGATATCTTACCTGTGTCTCAGTGAGTTTAAGGCTCTTGCTCAGCTGCAATCGCTTCGCAACGCTGAGGTATTTATTTCTCTCGAACTCCGCCTCCAGGGATTTTATTTGCGCCGCTGTGAAGGCTGTGCGCGGTCGTTTCTTTCTGTCGTCGTCGCTGGTCACGCTGGAACTTCCCTCGTGGATGTCTTTGTCACTGCAATCCATTTCCACACCGCAATTTCCACCACTGCTGCTTGTGCACGCTTCTGAAATAAATTCAATCCAATTTCTCATCAAATTTTATCGTCACCTGAATAAAATCCAAATCCGAAAACCTGGCGTTATCTTTTAAATAGAAAATGTTCAAGAGACACTATTTCATAAAAAAAAGAATTTCATCTTTCTGTACAACTTTTTCTACGGGAATTCCTCGCGGTAAATTTGTCAAGTTTTTTCCACTCTATTTTTATTTTCATTCATTAAAAAAAATGAAACAAAAAAATTTGGAAAATGTGAGTCGAGGAATGTCCACAAAAAATATTCTAATCGTCTAAAAAATTAAATGCTGTTGATTTATTGTACAGAACGTTGCGTCCAACATTTCCACGGAAAAAATGCGCGGTCAAACTGTTCGATATAACAAAAACGTAAAAAAGGAATTAATTAAGAAATTAAAAGAAAACACAAGTCCAATTACTCCGTAAATTCTTCAAACGCATAATACGCGCAATTTTTTCTCAATTCTTCATGTTGTGTTTTCGTACACACGACAGTTGTTTATATTTATATTTATCTGACACAGGCAGTTACAGCGTTATGTACGTGTACAAGACGTCGCGCCACAGAAACCGCCACGAATGAGAAATGTCCCGAGTGCCCCTTTTAGTTACGTTGAAAATGAGAGGAACGAAGGGAGAGCATCTAAGCGACGGGTATCATCTTCTAATTATCCGCCCATTAATCATCGAGCCGAGGGAAAAACGACGGCTCCTCATTCTTTCCAGTAGTTGAAACATACGATGACACGTCGAGCGCGCCGGGCTGCAGCTCACAACGGCGAAAGGATAATTCTCGATATTTTCGGAAATTTCGTTATTCGTTGGGGACTGGTGATGGAGGAAGATGAATTATCGATAATTGCACGAATCCTAAACAATTAATTAGCAATCGAAAATTACGAATTACTATAATAGCTTCATTCACTGTTCGGGGATAATAAATTATTCCTTGATAATTATTCAAAATTAATTAGTACTAATGAGTCATTTATCATTGCCATCATTATTAATGATTATTAATATCATTATCATCATTATTAATATTTCTGGGTTGAATTGTTGTTGAAGAAATGACTGATGCCGATTGTTGTTCCAGAAATCAATGCCATTACATTTTTTTTTTGGATGGATTGGTAAATTCTTTTAGGACTGACAAATTTTGAAGAACAGAGTCTCGAGCGAGAATTCCTGGGCGTCTTGAAGGTGGAGTTCACTTGCCCTCGACACTTCTTACCGCAATAAATATTCCGAAAAACTATTCGTAGCGGAGGGAGTCCGCGTACACGACCGAGAAGAAGCGTTTACCAGCTACTAATTGTCATATCGCAATTTAATTGTCGGGTTTATTTTCATTCTTCGCATTAGTCAACGCTTCTTTGCTGTCTCCGTCGAGTATTGGAAATGAATATGTACGTGGGACATTGATGGAAATAATTGATGATTATCGATCAGGAGAAGAATAAAAATTTTAACATTCCCAGAGGGAAATCAGTGCTCTTGCTTCATCTTAATTCATTTTTGAAATTCAGACAAATTTTCATTTTATTCAGACGTTTTTTACCGTCGGAAAAATGTTTACAAAAGGTGTGCGAAATTCAGACATTCGTTTTTGTGCTCGGAAGCAATAATTATGACTGATGTAAGAAGAAAGCTAAAGCGAGAAAATAAATAAATGAAGTAGATGAATTTCGACAAATCCCGTGGTCATTACTCATCACTTCCACCAATGACTTCCGGACGTGGAAGTCATCGCGGCGTGAAAAGTGAGGGCCTCCACCGAACCGAAAGCTCCATTAGAAGAAAAATCAGTGGAACTCTGATAAAAAAGTGAAAAAAAAACGGAGAACACGCACATCGCGCTTGCACCTCAGGAATAGCATCAACACCACGCCTCCTAGTTCCTCTAATTGCCGTTGAGCTCACACTAAACTTGTCTCCTAATTATTCGCTGATTAATGCCGTCACGGCCAGTCTCGGAGATCGAGTGACCACGATAAAACTAAACTACTAATTTACCGCCTGTCTATTTCGAAACTAGAGGCATATTAGGGGCTATTTATTATCAGCAGAATCAAACGTGGATTTAATGAAGATATAAGTGAATTGCAACTGCTTGGTACCTTGACTAATTAAGGGATCTAACGCGTGTTGCGGAGGACGGCTGGGTATTGCGGCGGGGTGAGGCCTCTGTTGATGGCTTTGTAGTTCGGCGTGAATATCTACGAATGTCGGGGAATACATTCCGCTTGCTCCCCTCTGGGATTTCGTGGATGCGTAATATATTTATCGTTTCGTACCGCGTTCGATGGATGTAAATTCAAGGGGCGGGCGCGCTCGGTAAATTAGGGCTTCGTGACATGCGTATTTCTTACTGAAGGCTAAATACGAATAGTCAACCCAACAATTAGCTCCGAATTTTTGGGTCTTTACTCGTCATTTACCTCAGCTTTTGCACTTTTTTAACATTTTCTTTTGTTTTCGTTTTACCGGAATTTTCCTCATTTTCATAAATTTTTATGAAATAATTGAACTGAAATTTACAGTTTTCAGTGATAGTTCCAATAAAAAGAGAATTCTTATTGACAAAATTCCTTGGAATTTCTGTAATATTATATAGAAAATACAAATAAAAAAATCAAATTCTGTGGATTTTTCTATAGAACATTTTCTATAGAATTTTAATATTAAAACTAATAGAGAGTTTTTCAAGTTTTTTCCGTTCTATTTTTATTCTCTTTTCACTGAAAAAAATTGAACAATAAACTTTACGAATTTGACCCGAGGAATTTCTGTAGAAAATATCTCAATAGAATAAGTTGCATAGAAAAATAAAATTCTATCATTTTTTCCACACAATATTTTCTATAAAATTTCCTATAGAATTTTAATATTAAAACTAAAAGAAAGTTTTTTAATTTTTTTTCACTCTATTTTTATTTTATTTTCACTAAAAAAAAATCAACAAAAATTTGCGAATTTGAGCCGAGGAATTTCTGTAAAAAATATCTCAATAGAGTAAGTTGCGTGGAAAAATAAAATTCTATCAATTTTTCCTAGCGAATTCGCTATATTTCTCTACAAAATTGTGACATGAACGAAAACAATAATTTCATAAATATTTTCATCCAAATAACAATTCGAGAAGCACTTTGCCGGTAATTTCCATGGCAGAATTAGCAGTAGACAGATAAATAGTGGACGCAAAACCGAGAACATTGAGTGGGCGTGGATCCTTGCAGGAAGCAATGGATCAAACTCACAGAGGGCCAAGTAGTCCACGCAACTTTGGTGCACACTTGTACCGCAGTACTTGAAGAAAAGGGAGAGTAAGAATGATATTTAAGAGAGTACGGATCGGTGATAATTATCCACACCGCTGAGGCCCTCGGCTGCATTTCAACGGCGGATTTATTGGTTCATGTCCACACTCGTGGTACTCACCGTAGCTGATTTCCGGCTCTGGGGTGGTGGAGCCCACTGTGTTCGACTCCTCCAGGCTCTCGATTTCTTCCGTCGACGACATCGACGAGTCGGGGACTGCCGTCAGGGCTCGGCCTTCATCGTAAACTGAAATTTTTTAATTCTGGATTTTTAATGGGGTTCCATGGCTTCAGAAAAATCATTGGAATGCGATTTTTTTACAACTTATTGAGATATTTTCTGTTAGAGAAATTCCTCGCCTCAGATTTTCTATTTTTTAAATATTTTTTTAATAGAAATACAAAAAAAATTGTAACAATGCAAAAAATTCTATGGAAGGATGAAATTCTTCCGATTCTTCCTATAAAATAATTTTATTGGACATTTTATATGTAAAAAAACTTGTAGTTAAGCTGCACAATTCGTAAACTAGTGGAATTTTTAATGGGAGTTCAATCGAAATTCAAGAGAATTTTCTATGAAAAATTTTTATGTTGGAAAAAAACAATAAACTATGTTTGTTCAACATTGTAGACCATAAATTAACACGTTTACTATCAACAATTTTTTTCATTGAAACGCTTGAGCAACATTTGCAAAAACTCATAGATAATCAGCATTATTCAAATAACAGTTTGCAATATGTTTTTTCCAGACGTTTCCTCGTGAATAAACAATGGAAATCGTTTCAACTTCCGTTAATCTTCCGGAAACATTCTGCAGATAATAGTAATAAATCAATTTATTGCAATTGGTAAACATTGATTTCCAGGGAAAGTTTCTAATTTAGAGACTTCTCAGTTATTTTGTTATTATTCCTCAAAATGTGAATTTTCCGGTTTTATTTGATCTCAAGAATATTTTTTAACGCTTGAAAATTATTCGTTACTTCTCACTAATTTTCTGGGATCGAAAATTGAATTCATCCCCAGAGAAAAAAAAATTAGGAAATTAAGAGATTTTGTCACCAATTTCCAGTGAAAATCCTAAATTCTTGGAATTTTTCTCTGAATTTTAGTGATTGAATCCCCAAAATTAAGAATAATTGTTGTGAATATCAAAAATCCTTGAAAATCAATGGAGATACCTAAAAATTCGGTACAAATTTCAAAAAATTAAGGAATAACTCCTGAAAATCGCGGATTCAACTCAAAAACCCACACTTCAATCTCTCCCCATTTCCACATTAAACTAATCGAACACTCACACTCATCCGCCGGCGAAGACTTGAATTTCGCATGAAAAATCGATCGCTGATCGACGGGCGGATCCTTGTTCGGTGCCAGCAGTCTCTCGATGCTGAAAGCGGCCAGTTTCCGGTTCGCAATTTTCTCCGGAGGGGAACTCTGATCTCCCTGGGACATCTTCCCACCACAAATCCACAAAATCCGCACAAAAATCCCAAAGAATTCACCACACGAATCCCCCAAAACTCAAAACCCTCTTCCCCCAAAAATCTCAACTCGATCCCAACTCGCAATTCCCAGATCCCTCAGTCCAATTAAACTCCGCGAATGATAATTTCCTCCGGAACAAATCGAACATGAAGAATTGACAACTTGTTTACAGAACAGATCCCCGATAGTCACTGTGTCGGGGTGTGCCCGAGTGTTCCCCCGAAATCATTTTCATTTTTTTTGTTCTCTCGTCCAAAGTCAAATTCCCAGAGCGTTGGGGAGGCGGACCCCCGAAAACTCCACGTGCCGATGACGTCGTTTACCCCTGGACCAATGGAAGAAGCGGCTGGGCGTAACTTGGCAGCGGCACGTGGACAAATTTGAAGCAGACAAGATGCGTTAGATGAGATCCCTCTAATTGAGGAATCAGAGGAGACAACTAGCGTCGGCTAAACGACGGCGATGTACCTGTTTGCTGATAAATTTGCCGCTGGGTCGGCTCAGAGCAGACGCTCTACTGCGATGATTGCGCATTATCAACATTGATGTATGTGATCCCCTAATTTGTGATCCGCCAACGGGGACGCGGGTCTCGCCCTCATGGGATATTTAGGTTGCCGAATTCTTGTTGTTTCATTTGTCATCAGGTAGCTGGTTATTTGGGGGAAGATTCATGGGGCCTTGGAGATGCCAGAGTCGACGGTTTGGTTCTGATTGGACGTGCAGAGGTCTTTCAAGATCTCTCCAGATCTAGGTTGACCTGGTAAGTCCTAATCAGCTCTGCGACGTACTTTTCCGGAAACGTTTCGAATGCTCAGTTCTTTTCGGCCCTGAGAAGTCCTCCTCTGTACTACCGAGACCGCGGGATTTCACGAGGGGGGAGGGGAAGGCATGTATGCGGAGGGTTGAAATTTGTAGCCAACGAGGAGAGAGGGTTGCAGAATATATTTTAGCCACCCTTGTCTCTCCGTTTGCAGGCGGTGTTTAAATTAAAAATAGAGCACGTTGATTCTGTATTTATTGACCCCCTGATGCCAATGAAACCGGCGGAGGTGACAGAAAAGACGAAAAAACATTTTCATTTTCACGTGGGTCAGGGGTCAGGGTGAAAGTCGATTTTCGCCAAAATCGAATTTTTTAACCGGGTGAACGTTGATTCCAACTATTTAAGCGTCGGGCTAGTCAGAACTGTCAAAAGTATGTGGAAAAAGTGAAAACTGAGGAACCGTTTTTTTTGGCCCCAGCCAAAGGGTCAGATTTTCGGGTTTTCCGGGGCAAGTGGATTT